TCCATCCTTCCGTCATCTGCTCGGCCACCAACACCCCCCCGCGTCCGCCTGTCCTTCGGTCCGTCCGTCATCTCCTCAGCCACCGCCACCCACCCATGTCCTCTTGTCCTTCTGTCCGTCTGTCATCTGCTCGGCCACCAACACCCCCCGTGTCCGCCTGTCCTTCCATCTGTCCATCATCTCCTTGGCCTCCACCCCCCCACGTCTGCCTGTCCTTCCGTCTGTCCATCATCTCCTCAGCCTCCACAGCCCGCCTCTTGGTGAACTGCATCTCGCTCACTCTTCCTCAGCTCCTAATGTGTGGTCACCAACCTAACCAGGGTCCTGACCACATCCAACAATACTGTCTTCCCAGGATCCCTGTATCACCTATTCCAGAATCTTCCATTCTCCTCAAACCCAATTATGTCTCTCTTCCCCTCCACCCTTCGCCTCGTGCCACCTTAATTTTCTTCCTTCAGATGTCTACAGAATGTTTTCTTTTCTTCCACCTTATTCTGGTGTCTCAACCATGTACTAACTCTCTGCTAAGTCAGGAAGGGAGGACAGGAAAAGAAAAACGAGAACACTTTTAACATGCGCCTCAAATCAAAAGACTTGAAGCACCACCAGTAGACTCATCAGTGACACCGCGATCTACAAGAAACAGACCCTTCCCAGAGCCCCAGTGGCTTGCGCAGAAGGTGGCCTCGTTCCTCAGGGAGAATGGTCCAGGCCCTGGGGGAAAGACCCCTGCAGAGGCCTCCAGCTCTCCCCACAGCCTCAGTCTCACAGATTTTCTTCCCTTCTGGCACAGCGAATGCACGCCTGCCTCTGGGGCTTCAGTCGCTGTTCCTTCCTCTGGGAACCCTCCACCCCCACCCTGTTCTTCCCCAGCCTCTGTCATTCACGCCTCTTTCTTGAGGCCCTCCCTAGCCACCTCTTCTAAATGGCCTCCTTCCTCTGTCGGCTATTATAGGACCCCTTATTGAACTGTCTTCAAAACGCCCAGACCCTGAACCCACAGGAGCCCTTTTGTTTGTACGTGTCTGTCTTCCACACCTGAAATGAAGGCGGGAAACTGGTCTTTCTCCTTCGCCACCTTGTCTCCACGACCCAGAGAAATGTACACAGCGGCCAATATACCACCGTGACTACTTTCTTTTGGTCCTAAATTGAAGGACATCTGCTGAAACTTTCCAAGTCCATTCCACATCAACAAACTCCAACTGGGATCCTATCAACTGAGATCACGACTTCTGTAAACGAACGAAGAATTCGTGAAGTTCATTATAAGCAAATACGAACACGCAGTTAACTTCAAGCCACTGCTGATTTTAGGCTAATTAAGAGCAGAAACGTCCTTGGGGGGCAAGCACTCCCGTCACTGGTACCTGCTGGCGTTGAAGAGACGCTCGACAACACACACACACACACCCCTGTGGAACAATTCTCACATAAATAAATACCGCTTGTAAGGTAACTGTCCTGAAGAAGCGGGAACCACTAACCTGTATCGAAACCATCTGTAAAATCCAGCCCTAAAATCCGTTACTTAAGTTCCCGCTCGTCACAGAGTGACTTACGTGTGCCACATTTGGCGGTCGGCCGATCTGCTGAATGTCAGCATTATTCGTAATGTTTCTCAGCGTCCGCACCGCCGGACTCCAAGAAGCGATCATTTCTGATCTTTCAGAACTCTGCAGGTTCTGTCCCGAAGCCATTACGCTGCCCCGGACGTCGGGGGGTAAGACGCTGCCCGGAACGGGTGGCACGCTGGCACATAAGTTAATCAGGCCCGGCTCCTTTCCCGGGGGCAGTCTGCGTTTGGCCGCGGCTAACTGTGGCACTTCCGCTGGGGTCCAGTTTAAGTTTCGCTCCTGTTTCTCAGGCGATGAATCCGAAGAGTCGTCAAACATCAACTCCCCTTTGGGTTTTTCGGTGTTTGACTTGGGTGAGAACTGCTGGGCACCTGAAGGGGACCCTTCTCGAGAACTGGCAGGGCTCGATTTCTCGTCGGTACTCCCCTCGTTGGGGGAATCCTGCTCCTCATTTTCTACCTCCTCCTCCTCCTCTTCCTCTTCTTCCTCTTCATAGATAATGAGGCGAGGATGGTAAAACGCTTCATCCTTTTTGGTTTTTTCAGATATGCAATCCAGGACCCAGTCGGGGGTAACAATTTTAATACTTGCTCTCTTTAAAGCACATTCGTATTTCTCCTGCAAGTAAAGAACAAACACATAAACACAGCTGTAAGTTTTACCGAATCTCCTAGAACCGTGTACTGAAAACGTCAGGACAGGGATGCAGCTGAAACGGTCGGCACTTGTGACTGCCGTTTTAGACACGGAAAAGCTTAAACTCCTTCCAGACGCACGACTAGAGCCAAAATGAACCATCGGTCTATGAACTCGGGACGGCCTCACCTGCAACAGCGGTCTTACAAGATTTTATTTTATTAAAAAAAATTTTTTTTCAAAGATCACTTATTTTTGAGAGACCGAGAAAGACAGAGTGTAAGTGGGGGAGGGGCAGAGAGAGAGGGAGACACAGAATCCGAAGCAGCTCCGGGCTCTGAACTGTCAGCACAGAGCCCATTGTGGGTCTTGAACTCACAAACCGCGAGATCACGACCTGAGCCGAAGTCGGACGCTTAACTGAGCCACCCAGGCGCCCCTTACAACATTTTGTTTAAAGTTAACCTCTACAGATGGTATTTTAGAAAAAAGTACAGCTAGCAATCCCACGGAAAATTCTCTGACGAACGAAATAAACAATCGCCACCTCGCTTAGTTTTTACCCACCGACAATCTGTACAAAGCCGCAATGGGGGCAGAGCTCCTTCAGGACATCGGGCACAGTCAGGGAGGGTGGCCGACTTTCCGCGGGGAGGCTTCCTCAACGAGGCGCCTAGTGTTAATCGAGCCCGCTCCACGGGAGACACAGAGGGTGCAGCACGTCTCTGACCTCAGGAGATTTACAACTTCGCTCTGGAGAGAACGTGACCACGAACAGGAATACAATGTGCAGCCACTGCTGAGCGAGGCGGGCACATGTACAGAAGGGTCCCACCAGTGTGAGCCGCACGACTCAGGGAAGGCCTCTGTTGCAAAGTGAGGCCGGGCAGGGGCGTGACAGCAGGCACGGGCACTGAGCAAAAAACGTAGGGTGCATGGAAAAGGTGTGCTCACAGGCAGGGGCCCCCTTACAAGTCAGGGTGTAGAACGGCACAGACAGCAAAGGATAAGAGACACCAATGAAAGAGTCACATGATACAGGAGCTTTAAAATAAACACGTCTGAGGGGTGCCTGGGTGGCTCAGTCAGTTAAGCGTCCGACTCCTGATCTCAGCTCTGGTCGTGATCTCATTCACGGTTCCTGAGTTCGAGCCCCTCATCGGGCTCGGTGCTGACAGTGTGGAGTTGGCTTGGGATATTCTCTCTCTCTCTCTCTCCCTCCTTCCCCACTCCCGCTCTCAAAGTAGTAAATCAACTAAAAAGAATAAATAAGCGAGTTTGTAACTATGGTTCGCTTAACTAACAGAATCTCCCCCCCACCCCAGCTTCCAAAGCCTAGGGTAACAGCAGGTCTCTGGCAAACATGCTGGAGCCCCCACATTAAAATGCGTTTCCTGGCAAGGAGGCCGAAGGTGGCACTCGCTGTTCACGGTCAGGGCAAGGGTGACCACGCAGACGACCGCCCTCAGGCCGGCGCTGGCCACCAACGGCAGAGGAAGCCGGGACCCACCTCCTGGGAAAGAGCGAGACCCCCCCACGAGCCTCAGGGAGTTCACGCTGTTGCTTCTGAGGACGCTCCGCTTCGAACCTTCTGAAAACGCAGTCATGGGAGGACACGCGTGAATGACACGTGAGGCCAGAAGCGGATGTAATCACCGCCATACTGCTGAGACCCTTCCACCGTCCCCATCTGAGGGCACGGCTCCAACCATCTTTGTTATAAATGCAGATGTACGTGTGTTCAAAAGGTGGAGGGGGCACCACGGTGTCCGGGGGCACAAACACTCTAGAATGTGCTTCTCGCTTCATACGTCGCGAACAACCTCCCACGTCAACGTGTGCTTCTAGGCCGGCCCTTCTGCTCCTAACTTTCTGGGGTACACTTTCCAACAAACTCCAAAAGCGGAGACGCCCGTGCGATAAATCCCCTGTACCCGTCACCCAGCTCCGTTAGCTGGCAACCGTCCGCCATCCCGCTTCACCTGTCTCCTCTGTGACGCTGCATCTCTGACGACCCCCGCCACCGTGACCCCCACTCAGCTGGGGGGCCCCCTCACACCCAGGCGTAACTCGTTTTAACCCCAGCACGCCATTCTGTTGCACAGTGATTTCAGGCAATCCCCCGTCCCCCGGATCACTGCTTAGTTATTTCTTGCATCATTCATTCTAGTAGTCTCTAACGTCTGGGGTTTTGTTACCATGAAAACCTGAAGTTAATTCTCGACACACATATCCTGAATCGCTGGGTCTGAGATGAACTCCTGGGTTCTGGTATCCGAGTATGGAAAGCACTTTTAGGCTCCTGGCCTCTAACTACACCCCCTCCTAAAAGGCTGTGCCACCAACTACGAACGACTCTATCAACTGACCCACACGCCTGATAATACCCAGTTTTATTCCTGGCCGTGTGCTTGAACTCCTTGAAACCATGCTGTGTGTAAAGCATGATTTAAGTCGTGCGTTTTATTAAGATGGAAACGTTTTAAAACCTATGTGTCGAGCAGCACGTGGGAATACGGAATGCTGAACTCAGTCACACCACAGCGTGCACTGACCACGGAAACTAAGCTGAGACCGGGTGCTGTGCAGAAGTGCTCGATCACGACAGTGCACGCCTGAGACTAACACACCACCGTCCGCTCACTAAATCACGGAATTGAAATAAAAGCTTCAAAGAATTAAAAAATCCCCTTCTTTATCCCCCAAATCATCCCGAAATATTTAACCATGAAATGCGAAACCAACCCTCCCACGTCGCTACAGATGAGAGCCCTCTGTAGCAGACTAGAGACTTGCAACTTCCTGACCGCCTGTCCCAAACGAGCCACAGGGCTGTCCTAGGAAAACAAGTCTGGACACACACCGAAGTATTTATAAGCTACACAAATACGACCAGGTAACAAATCTGAGATTTCTACGTTATTTTCCAAGATAGGAAGATGGTTTGCTGAAAATAATAAAACGTGACATTTTTTTTTAAACTGTTAAAAAATAGCAGAAGTAAAACTAGTGCCACGCGGTGCAGTCGCCGAGCATCTCGGACACCATGGAGAAACTCCATGCTTCGCGCTGGCAGCCGCCGTGGTCGGCCGGAGTCGTCGTCTGCACGCCGGGCCGGCACTCATTTCAGGAGGGACACTGTCACTCACGCGTCCTCTCCCTTCTAACCCAACAGGGAGTTTTTGTCACTGAAAGACAGTTACTGCTTGAACAAAGGCGACCTAAGAACAAAGCAATGTCAGATGCCTTTGCCTGAGCTGACTTCCCAGCTAAGTCGTTCCAATTCTCGAACCCTCACACGCACAAGTTACTAAATGCACGGACTCAGGGGTGCCTGGGTGGCTCACTCGGTTGAGCGTCCGACTTCGGCTCAGGTCGTGATCTCACGGTTCGTGGGTTCGAGCCCCGTGTCAGGGTCTGTGCTGACAACTCAGAGCCTGGAGCCTGTTTCGGATTCTGTCTCCCTCTCTCTCTGTCTCTCCCCCACTCACGCTCTCTCTCTTTCTCAAAAATAAACGAACAATA